AAAAAAAAAAAAAATTTCCTTAGTCCAAAGTGCTATCAAGTGCCTGTGGTCCTAGCTGAGTCTGAGATGGGAAGATTGCTTGAGCTCAGAAGTTGGAGACAGCAGTAAGCTATGATCATGCCACTGCACTGCAGTTTGGGAGATAGAGTAGTCCCTATCTCTAAAATACATACAGTAGAACCTCCATAGTTGACCACCTCCTTAAATTGGCCTAATTTCCACAGACTCGGTATGTACCACATGTACATATCAGTGTAGTAGGCCTAGTTCTGTATGCTGACCACCCCCATATGGTGAACAGTTTAAGTCCCTTGGGTAGTCAATTTACAGAGGTTCTCCCGTGTGTGTGTGTGCGTATACATATACATATAATTTAAAGAATTTCCATATATTTTTTGACAGTAAAAGAACTTGGATATTAATGAGCATAGTTTTTCTTATTTTCTAAACTATGTGAGCTGAGAAGTTTAGAAAAGACTTTTTGAGGAGCTGAGAGTGAGGTGTTGGTTCTGAAGGATAATTAGGATGATTAAAGTTAATGTTAGTGATACAAGGGATGGAGAAACTGAGCAAAGGTTGCAGAGGGAGGGAAGCACCGGACAGGTTGGTGAGGGTATGAGTCAGACCTAGTAAGCTGGAGCACAAGATTTATTTAGAGGAGTGCTAGGCAGAGAACTTATGGAGAGATTTGAATCCTAAACTAAGGTGCTAAGACCAGCTTGTAAGCTGAAGGGATCTAAAGAAGCTTTCTGATTTGTATACAAGTAGTTGGAATATGATAGTCTAAAAGTAGGGTTCTTGAATCCAGAAGGCCCACAGAGAGAGCCTAAAAGTGGAAGGCCACAGCAGTATTCTAGTTATGAGGCAACAGAGGTTTGAAAAGAGGGAATGGAGAAAACCAGATGGCATAAATACCAAGAGGATTAGACAGTTGTTGGGATCTCTGTGGGGCTCAAAGAAGAGAGAGGAGTGATCACTGTGAGCCTGGGAGACTGGAATGATGACACCATTGACAGGAATGGGAGGCCAGGCTGGAAGAAAAAGACATTGGTTTGCAACAGATGGTAGCACTGTTACAGTGCTCTGTAGGGAAACTTCAGACACAACTCACCTTCATGTCCTCAAAATCTGTTATCCCTATCTGAGGAAGGTTTGAGCAGTTTACATGGATGAGTTTTCTGCCATTGATGAAGTTTGCAATAAAACACTCCTGCCAATACAATAAAAATAATCACTCAAAAAATGTACTGTAAGTAGAAGGCAGGAAGAAAGGCAGGAAGGGAAGGAAGAAAGATGGAAGGGAAGAAATCCTATTTATCTCTGGTTCCATACTAAAAAAAAAAATAATTTTTTATCCTAATGATACATTTTTTTTCCATCTTAGTTTTTTTTTTTTTTTAGACAGAGTTTTTCACTTTGTCACCCTCGGTAAAGTGCCATGGCATTATAGCTCATAGCAACCTCAAATTCTTGGGCTTAAGAGATCCTCTTGCCTCACCCTCATAGTAGCTGGGACTACAGGCACCTACTACAAAACCTGACTAGTTTTTTTTTTTGCAGTTTTTGGCCAGGGCTGGGTTTGAAGCCACCACCTCCGGCACATGGGGCAGGCACCCTACTCTTTGAGCCACAGGTGCCGCCCTAAAACCTGACTAGTTTTTAGAGACAAGGTCTTGCTCTTCTTGCTCAGGCTGATCTCAAAGTCCTAAACTCCATCCACCTAAGCAATCCATCCACCTTTGCATCCCAGAGTGCTAGGATTACAGGTGTGAGCCACAGGGCCTGGACCCATCTAAGGTATTGATTAAATTTTACACTGCTCCTCAATTTTTTTTACCATGCTACAATCAGTGCCTCTTCATGTTTCAAGTCAGGTTGAGAGGTATGATCATAGCTCACTCCAACTCCTTTTTTTTTTTTTTTTTTGAGACAGAGTCTCAAGCTGTCCCCCTGGGTAGAGTGCTATGGCATCACAGCTCACAGCAACCTCCAACTCCTGGGCTCAAGCGAGTCTCCTGCCTCCGCCTCCCAAGTAGCTGGGACCATAGGGGCCTGCTACAATGCCTAGCTTTTTTTTTTGGTTGCAGCCATCATTGTTGTTTGGTGGGCCCGGGCTGGATTCGAACCTGTCACCTTAGGTGTATGTGGCTGGCGCCTTAGCCACTTGAGCCACAAGCGCTGAGCCCTCACTCCAACTCTTAACTCCTGGGCTTGAGCCATCCTTCTGCCTCAGCCTTCTGAATAGCTGGGACTACAAGAGTGCATTTCCACTCTAAGCTAATTAAAAAAATTTTTTTTGTAGAAATATGGTATGACTGACTGCCAGGCTGTTTTTGAACTCCTGGCCTCAAGCAATATGCCTGCCTTGGCCTCTCAAACTGCTAGGATTACAGGTCTGAGCCACCATGCCTGTCCTCAATTACACTTTTAAGTACAGGGGGCACAAATAGTTTTAGATTTGTGTTGTTTTGTGGTAGACTAAAGCATAGTTTGCATGGGTGAAATAAGAGGCTCATACTATCTTTTTTGGTTAATGCCTATAAATCAGTACATTTAAGTGTTAATGATACACAAGACATATTTAGGGCAGACAAGTAATAGTATAATAATGAAGTCAAGGTTTGGGAGCTACCACTAGAACAAATTAACAAAGTATCAGAAAGTGTATCTTGGACAAAATCTACTTAAAAATACAGTTTTCTATGAAAAGAGAAATAAATGTCTTGGTTTTTACTCAAGGATTGCAGAGAACTGTAATCACTGGGATGAAGAAGAAAAACAAATAATTGTGACCCTTCCTTCCTCTTCCCAAGATAAAAATTAATGGCAAGGCCAAAATTAAAATCCAAGTTACCTCTACACAAACCGAGACTTTTCTATATTACTAGTGAAGAGGCAAAGCTCAAGAAAGGTTAGAGGGAAGAAGAAGCATGAGAGTATGTGATTTTAAAAATATGCTATTTTTATATACCTTGTATTGAGGGAACCCTAGCTGGCTAATCCACTCTGCAACTTTCTCTGGGTCCCAATCAAGATGGTCAAATTTTAACTTAGTCTTTATTTTTGGCCGGGTTTTATCTTGCTTTGACTTTTGGGAAAAGTCTTCAACTTTTTTTTCACCAACGGATTCTCTTAATTTTGTTTGAGACTCTGTGGGAAGTGTACTGATTTCAGTAAGCAGGTTTTGGAGCTCCTGAGAAAACTCATAATCTGTTTCAAATGAACTTATTGTACCTTCTTTGAGAGATGTGAGTGTAAAATAGCTTTTTACTTCTTCAGTTTCTTTTAGAAACAAATCTCCTGTTTGATACTTGGGGTACTGTTGATAATTCCAATATGCAGAATGTTTAGATTTGACTTGTTTTGGCCTGACTTCCTTGGATAATACTGCACCTATGTTGCCTTGTTTGGCTTCATCTGGTAACTGTAGATTATACTCCTTAGTTGGCTTTCTTTGTGTCTCCTCTTGAATCTCTGGTTTGACCTCTTGTGGTAGCACTAGACCAGTCTCTGGGAGTTTTGGAAATTTTTCTTTACTTAACTTTTTTCTTCTCTTTGGAACTTCTGGTTTAGTTTTTTCTGATTGCTTTAGACTTGTTTCTTCAATTGGTTTTCTTGATTCTTCCTCAGGAAATTCTGATGTGACCTCTTCTAGTGGCTTTGGAACTTTCTCATCAGTAGACCTTTTCATCTCTGGAATCTCTGGTTTAGTCTCTCCTGAAGGCTCTACACCTAACTCTGGTTTACTCTCTTTTGGAAGCTCTAGCCCTGCCTCCTCAGTAGACTGTCTTGGTTTCTGCTCTTGGAATTCTGGTTCAGCAGGTGACTCTGTTGTTTTCTCCTCAGTTGACTCTCTTTGTGTTTCCTTTGGTTTGATTGTCTTTGGTGGCTGTACCTCTGTTTCTTCAACTGATTTTCTTGGTTTCTCACTTGGAAAATCTGATTTGGTCTGCTCTGGAGAGTCTCCGCCTGTTTCTTTATCTTGCTCTCTGAGTGATTCCTCTGGAACCTCCTGTTCTGACTTCTTTAGTGACTCTAAACTTTTCTCCCTGACTGTGGACCTTGAAATCTCAGACACGGCTTCCGTTGGTGGCTCTGTATCTGTTTCCATAGCTGACTCTAGGAGCACATCCTCTGTTACGTTTGGCTTAGCCTCCCCTGGTGGCTCTGGGTCTGGCCTCTCACCCTTTTCATCCACAGGGACCTCCACATCTTTGGAAATCTGTCTTTTCTCTTCGTTTATCTCTGACTTTACTTCTTGGGGAATCCCTGGATCAGTTTCGCTAGATAGGTCAACCTCAGACTCCTTGGGATTTTCTCCCTCGGGTGTCCCACTGGGTTTTCGCTGCGCATTCTTAGCACTTTCGGGCTCCTCCTCTAAGTCCTCTTCCTCGGTGTCTGGCTGTAGCTCTTGGTCAGTCTCTGAGGGTAGCTCTGGGCCTGTTTCTGCCAAGGTTTCTGGGTCGACATTTTCATGCAAGCTAAGAAATTCAGCCCCTTCTTCGGCTGTTTCGCGTCCGTGAGTCTCGGGCAGTTCACCGTCTTCCTCGCCGAAAACGTAATCCTCAGGGATCTCAGCCATTTGCTGGGTAGCGGGCGCACTCAGGACTCCTAGCAACCCCAACTTCCGATAGCGTCTCTATGGATACCATGATTTCCGGCAGTGTCTTCCTGACTCTTCCCCAGAATTTTTTTGTTCTTTCAAGCCCAGACATTAAAAATTGGCGAGCAAAAGCACGTCGTAACCCTTCGGACGCCCGCGTCGCCAGCCCCCGCCGCCCGGAGCTCCTGCGGCCGCCCGGGGCAGGCGCACTCTTCCCGCGCCGCGCGCCGCTCCTTCCGGCTCGCGGACTCGCTCGCTCAGTTCTACGCGCGCCGCTCGCCAGTCCTTCGGCAGTTTCCGGAGCCACTCGCGGCTGGCGGCGGAGACACTCCTGTGGCGAGCTGCAGATGTCGGACCGGCAGGCGGCTGAGGGGCCGGGTTTCTGGAGCCCCGCAGACCGCCGAGGGTCGGCGGGCGGCGTCGGAGACGACCTGGGAGTGCAGGGGAGCCAGGCGGCCGCCTCAGGTACGCAAGGCCGGGGCGCCGGCGGGTGGGTGCTGTCCGGCCTCAGGGCCTGGCACCTCGGCACGAGCCTCCGCCGCGCTTCCTCGCGGAGCCGATCCACCTCGGCAGCTCCTTTCACGCTTGGGGGTCCTCCTTTCCCGGGGCACAATCCCTGCCCCCTTTGCTGTCGCCACCGGGGCCCTGGGCTGTGGTTTAGGTCATTTTCTACTTCTGATTCAAGATACCTTGCTTCTTGCCCCACTTCCTTTCTCAGGCCAGCCCAGATGGTAGGGACAGGGTCGTAATGCCCCGGTGCCTCTTCAGCTTCATCCTCGGTTCTGATTCTGTCTCTTCTGCCAACCCGAATCACATTGGCGTCGCCATCCCCTGCTTCTGGCTCCCCACCGAGTCCCCACCTCTGTCCCCTGCCCCAGCCTCCCCAGGCGCCTCTTAGCCCTCATCGACGCTGGCAGCCTCGCCCTTCTCTGCCAAGAACCCCACTCCGCTCTAGCCTCTCTGCACATAGATCCTCCTGCAGTGGGCGAGAGGAAAAGCAGAGTTGGGATCGGTAGGCTCTGGAGTCTTTTGATGCTACATAGTGGCCAAAGCAAAGGTAAGAAGTAGGAATTTTAGCGATCTCCCTTACTCTCCAAGCCCCTCATCCTCCCCTTTGTTCAGGACGATGTCTAGATTTCTACCCGCAGAAGTTCCTCTATGTGGATTATTTCGGTTTCCTAAGATAAGGGTCCATCTATCACACTTTATTCTTCAGCCTCTTTATGGTCACCAGCACGGTACAACAAAAAGGATGCTTCTTTGAAATACAAAAGTGTAAGGGGAGAGAACTGATCTCATTAAGTAGCAAATATAAATTAATTTTTTAGGTCTCATATAAAAATAGATGTCTTGAAAGTATAGTGGTTGAGGCACTATTGTGGAGCCAGGGTGCCTGGATTGGAGTGGAATCCTTAGGCAAGGCACTTGGCTTCTGTTTGTCTGAGTTTCCTCATCTGTAAATGTGACAGCTGCTTCACAAGATTGTTAGGAGGATTACTTGAGCCACTGTGTCTAAGGCACTTAGTGTGTAGCCCATAGCACATACAATACTTGTTAGCTATTAGGAGACTGCATCTCTTTTTACTCACTTGAACTCCCTGTGCTACCAGAGCGGTTGTCCCTGCGTGTATCTCTTCCAGCAGGCTGGCTTTTCCCCTTTCCTTCTTCCATCTTAAATGTCTCCCCTCTCATAATGGTTCTCCACTCAAGCCCTCATATGTGAATCACCCAGCTCTTTCCCGTGACTTTATCTTCTTTTACTTTAAAATGTATTAACATTTTTTGTCTTTCTTTGGGACTGTTTTATGCTTTGTATTAAATTCGGAATTGTTGGGATTTATTTAACATTTTAGCAATGTAAGTTCTAAGCATAATTTCTTAAAGATGAAGCCACAGCCCCAGCAAGAGCTAGACCCTGTCTCTAAAAATAGCCAGGTGTTGTGGCCGGTGCCTGTAGTCCCAGCTACTCAGGAGGCTGAGACAAGAGAATGCTTGAGCCCAGGAGTTTGAGGTTGCTGTGAGCTATGACTTCACAGCATTCTACCCAGGGTGAGATTCTGTCTCAAAAAAAAATTATAATAAAAAAAAAGAAAAAGAAAAAGTAAATAAAAGATGAAGCAAATAAACACTCCGAAAGGTGTGTAAGTAAGTCTCAAACACCAGTCCCCTGTGTGTGCCAATGTGCATAAGTGAAGCATATATTTTACTACCCCTTTAGGTACTGGTGTGTTTATGGCAAACAAACCCAAGCATTTTAGATAAAGAACTCTAGGAATATACTGGAAGATAGTGGGTTTGCTTCTGAGTACGGTCCTTTTTTTAACTCCCTGACATCTAAGTGATTCTTATTCATACATTCCTTTCTTCCTCCCAGGACTTTGATAGAAATACTATGGTTACTTTCCTTCCTCTTGTCCTCAGAAAGCAGGGTGATAATTTCTTTTTATGTCATATAGGGGTTTGTTATTGCTGCCCAGAGCAAGCTCTTCCTCTTGCGGTAGGATTTGTTGCTAGTAAAATAATAGTAATGGGTTGGGCGCCTGTAGCTCAAGTAGCTAAGGCACCAGCCATATACACCAGAGCTGGCGGGTTCAAATCCAGCCCAGGCCTGCCAAATAGCAATGACAACTACAACCAAAAAATAGCCAGGTATTGTGGTGGGTGCCTGTAGTCCCAGATACTAGGGAGATTGAGGCAAGAGAATCACTTAAGCCCAGGAGTTGGAGGTTGCTATGAGCTGTGATGCCACAGCACTCTACCCAGGGCGATAGCTTGAGGCTGTGTCTCAAAAAAAAAAAGTAATAATAATAATAGTAATGATAGCCTATATGTATTGAATGCTTACTCTGTGCCAGAATGTGGAAAAAGATTTACCTGTGCTTGTATTCTCTAATTTAATCCTGTCAATCATTTTCTTCCCATTTATTTTCTTCCATTTTACGGAGGAACAAGCTGCAGTTGGGAGAGGTTAACTTGTACAAATTGGGGGAGTTTTTACTGTCTACATGAAATTGTCACCTTGCTAGAGTAATTTTATAATTATTTGTTTTTATTGGCCATTATTAAAAAATTGGTACTGAAGGACAGGTTATGGTCTTTTGTCCTCAAAGTATGTTGAGTTTGGTGAGGTGAGAATTCCACAGGGAAAAAAGTTAACAATTCAAAACATTACATAATTGGCTGTCTTTTATTACAGTTCTCTTTGTACTTCTTCCCTAAGAAACCTGCTTGAAGATAGAAACAGACTCTTATCATGTCTTTTTATCTAGAGCCCTTGCTGTCGCGTTTTGGAGGTTCTGCAAATATTTGCTGAGTTAGATGGTGAGAGAAAATCTCAAGGAAAAAATTTGGAGGAGTATCCAATGAATGTGAGGAGTTAGGGTTGAGATGACCAAGAATGTTCCTTGGGTTAAATCAGTGGTTCTCAATCAGCAGTGATTTTGCACCCCCAGGGGACATTTGGCAATGTCTGAAAACATTTTTGGTTGTCAAAACTGGGGGCAACTATTACTGACATCTAGTGAGTATGGGCCAGAGATGTTGCTAACATCCTGCAATGCACAGCACAGTCCCCACAATGAAGAATTATCTGACTCCAGATGTCAGTAGTGCTGCTTTCGAGAAACTCTGGATTAGTGTTAAGCAGGATTTCCAAAGTGATGTGGAAATGCTTAGACCAGAGGTCCAAGTTACTATACTACTTCAAATTGTTTAATTGGATTAAACAATTTGAATTTGTTTAATTGGATCCTTCTGCCACCTTCCTCTAGAAGATGAAACCAGTGAGCCATATAGCTCTAAGAAAGAATGAAATTGAAAGAGGTTTTTGTCACCCTCTCTTAGAAAACAGCAGTTACTGAATTAAGGGTTTTGGTTTTTCAATTTATCTTACAAGCAGGAATTTATTATTATCCAAAACAACCATTTTAAAAAAGCGTTCTCTGCAGAGAATACCTTTTAAATATACCTTTTGAGGGTCTTTATGTTTGTTTGCTGAGGTTTTGATGAAAAAGAAGAAAAGGATCTTACCCTCTCACCCTGGCTGGAGTGCAGCCTTGAACTCCTGGCCTCAAGTGATCATCCCACCTTGGCCTCCACAAATTCTGGGACTGAGAATCAGAACAATTACAGGCATGAGCCACCTTGCCTGACCTGTAATTGTTTTTAATAGTCCTTTATTTGGGGCACCTGGGTTCTTCAATTCCCAAAAGGAGAGAGAAATCATTCCTTATATCATGAACTCTCTGAGGCATGCATGGTTGTATCCCCACGGGCAGGCGATTTCTCTCTTTCCTTTTTTTTTTTAATTTAAGTTTTGAGAGCTTTGGAGAGAGTAAAGAGCAAAGTCTGTTATGACCCTGAAGTCAGCAGTATAACTTCATTATGTATGACCCAGAGAAGCTATCAGTGCATTTAGATGTTGAGGATAGGGAACAGGTCAAAAGAACTGGGATTGTTACTGGTTCTAAGGTAGGACTTAGAGCAGTGCAAATAAGTCTTTTTTACAATGATGGAAATATTTCACATCTGTGGGGATTTTAATTTACATGAATTAAAATTTAAAATTTGGAGGCTACCGAATTGGATGGTGCAGGAGAGTAGGAAATCTAATGCCAAAGAGCTTATGCTTTATAGTTTTCTATTGTGGTTTTATGTCGAAATGGTAGAAATTTTTCTGCCTGTGGCTATTTTTTTAATAGTGGTTGTGTTTTCCCAGTGTTCAGATAGTTGATCAGTCATGTCATTATTTAGTCTAGAGTACAGCTAAAGGTTTGTAACTGGAATGCTGATTCACCAGCATGTTTCACTTACAAGAGCTGAAGAGAAATTGGAATACATGGCCATTGGATTTTGTTGCAGTGTAAACTCAGCTAGTTTGTTTTCGTGTAAGCCTCTTGCATCTATATAATCCTATAGCTGGCTTTTGGTTCCTTGGCACTTGAATCTAAAAGGCCAGGCTAATTATCTCTTTGCAGCCTGTTTAGTGAAGGGGAAATCCTCTGAGGCCTATTCTAAAGAACCCTGACCTGATATTCAAATGCTTTAGGGAAAAAGAGCTTTTTGGGTCTCTTTGTAGAGAAAGTACAAAGCACACAGCAAGTTTGAGTCCATAGTGTGATCAGAATGTCTGAAACCAGACTTTCTAGTATATTGAAAGAAAACGCACTTTAAAAAAAATTGGGAAATATATTTCTTTCATTACTTTGTCCAACCCTCTAAAAAAAACTAAGAATACAAAAGTAGTAAAAAAAAATTGTCAAATACAAAATCAGTTATTTTAATAAAATTTCTTATTCCCTTTCTTATCTTTGCTTTAATGGCCATCAATTATAAATTATTTTTAAGCTTCCATTTTTCCTTCTCTATTCATTGTTTCTAAGATTTTGGCCATTCAGGATTCCTGGTATTGAATTTGCTGTAATATGGAACTTACTATTGCAATATTATTTGGTTACTATTTTTTC